CCCCCCCTCTCTAACTTACGAATTTTTAAATCCTTTTTTTGGGTGGCTTGGATAAGTAGGAAAATTAAAAATCCCATGAGGTATCTTTCTTGCATATACTGGTAGCTTGGTAACTAAAACTGAGGGATGGAAGAGCAGTAGACATCATCTGACAGTTTTTTTGCTTATGATCCTTCTGACCAAAGGCATAAGTAAAGCAAAATAAGTTAACCTCTGTTCATGCGTCGACTGGGATAACCCCTTTGGTAGTCCCTGTAATCCTTTTCTTTTATGGCAAATTTTCTGCATGCCATTTCTGTCAGCCAACCCAGGAATCCTGACCATAAGATTTTGGGTGAAAACAGAAGAACATATGAATACTGTTTAACTTTTATAAAATAGGCTGCCTATAAAACAAAAAGTGTGTGTGCCTTCCATACCTGTCAAAAGTTTATTCTCAGAGACTCACAGAAGAGCTTATGCAAATGTCAAAGTTTATGTTGTGTGCTAAACAAACCATGTATAGGGATGTCCATCTACTCTTGGAGCGAATCGCAAGTCTCAAGATTTCTTTGAGAGAGTGCCTGCAAGGGAAAGCCATGTGAAAGCTTTATTCAGTGAGAAAGTTATAAATCAAATTGAGAAGGATGTTGGCTGCAAAATCAAAATGGAGGAGAAGTTTATCATAGTTAGTGGGAAGGACAGATTGATCCTAAGAAAAGGAGTGGATGCTGTACATAAAATTAAAGAAGAAGCGGACAAAAAGGGTCCTTCTAGTTCTCAGGCGTCCAGATCAAGGTCACCTGAGCGCAGAAGTCCTGTTAGCTCTCGTATGGTACGTTCTGATTCTCAGAGATCCAATCACAGCCCTCAGAATGCATCACAGTTACACCATAGGTATGGAAGACAAGAGAAGGTTGTGGATGATCGCGGTCATGATGGTTTTCACAAAATTGCAAGGGGTAGTTCACAAGGTAGGAAACCAAAGAGTCTTTCTCTTCGACAAGTAGAGCACAATTTGCCTTTCAGCCTGATTTTGGTTTCTTATTTTTCCCTTCTACATGTAACTTTGGCAATTAAGTTTTTTGAGTATGAACTTCACAGGCTGGTTCTGATGTTGAGTTAATTTCATTCATAATGTGCGTTGCTTATCTTTTTCTTTTTGTGGCAGCAAGAGGTAAGTTCTTTTCAAGCATTCTGTTCGATTCTGATGTAACATTCGTGGTGGTCTCAAATGAAAGGATTATCCCCCATTGAAAATTTTCACTGAAAGTATGTAGAGACTCGTTTGCTTCAGATGGGTTCACTATGAGATTTTAAGATACTTTGCCATGTTAAAGCTGCCATCATTGTTAGAGTTCTTCAATGGAAGTGCTTAACCCACTCTTCATTTGGTGAAGCTTATGGTAATGATGGAGCTAGAGGTCGATCAAGCCAGTCAAAGTCTCCGGCACGCCCCACTTATATGAGTAACTCGTATAATTCGTACGATGGTCACGGTCAGGGCAGGGGTGTATACAGGCCTGATGGTTGGGATGCTGGTAGACGTGGTTCTGACATGAAATCTAACCGTGACTTTGACTACCCCTCCATTCCACAATCCTTAGAGAATCTTGAATTGCACTACCAAAAGGATGCTATAGATCTAGGAAGAATTCGGGATAAGGAAGAAGATGAAGAAAATCACAAGCATAGAGAGGTATGAAGAAGTACCTAAAGTTTGATCTTTTCTTTTGTTTTTTCCATTTTTGGATTATTATTTTATTTCAAATTTTGCTTTGAAGAAAGACCCTCACCGAGGCCATAGTGCTGATGTGCTAAATCATTTTCCAGTCATAATCTTGTTTTGGTTTATCAAATGTTAGGCCATCAGAGAAGTAAGAGAGAACTACATGAAGAAATTGACCATCCTTAGAGTTGAACATGCAAAGCAATGGGAAGAGTTTCTACAACTTGATGCTCTGAGGAGGCAACAGCTGGCAGGACAGCATGCGTCAGCCTCTGGGTTTGGCAGTTACAATCAACAGAGTTATCAAGAGTATGAGAACTCAGCAGGTAATCCACATTATTCAGGACCCAACATACCAATGGAACCAAGGGTAAGATATCCAAACCCTATGGATAACTACCATCCATCAAGGCCACAAGACAGTTATGGTGACTTTCAGCGTCAGAGGCGTGATGATTATGGGAAAGCCTATAACCGATACTAATTGGGTAGATTGGAGTTTTTCTTGTGGTGAGTTGTCTTACCCTTTTGACAAGCTGAGAGCACTGAGTTTCATTTTGTTTCACCTAAAGCATTGGCTCTGCCATTTTTAGGTGGGTGTGCCCTTCTCGTCATAAATGTGTTCTTTTAAGGGTATATTTACGGAGGTTCTGAAAGTCAATATTTGGAATGGAGAAAATGTTGGATAGGGTGGCAGATGATTGATTTTTATACAAGGTTTTGTAGCTTTTCTTTACTTAGATGCGTTTAATTAAATTAGCACTTCATAACTTTCAGGATGCGAGTGGGTGGTGTCCTCGTTCACTGCGATGAATCAGTCTGGTTATGTTTGGAGATGTAGAAAGATCAAGAGAAACTCTGAATCTGACTATGGTACTGTTTATGCTGTAAAGACAATTGAATCAGGGTGTTCTTATTTGGAGTTAAATTATATCTTTGTCTAGACTAGTGAAGTTTGAGCTTTGGCATGAAATTTGGAAATACTGAATATCATGGTATAATTGCTACTTTTCAGTTTTTCAACAGAAGATGCTTTGAGAAGCTTTTCATCAAATGATGAGTGATATAATTTTCATAATGCTGGCAATTATAGAGAGTTAAATCTTCTCGTAAGCCCAACAGACAAGGTTCTGCAGATTATGGATTTCTTCTCTCGGATGACAGTTTAGCAGTTTTTCTTCCCTAGGATGCAGTTTTGTGATGACTGCTTTCAGGATTCCATTGGGTAGAAGCTTTCCTCTAATAGTAACATGACACCTTTATTATGCTGTTTATTTTGGAGAAATGGAGGGAGGGGGGAGGGGGTTAAAACTATAGGGGTTATGATGCTGGTTGCCTTGGGCGTTTAATTCTTTTGCACTCCAGAAAAGGTTGTCATAAATTAGTTGACCTAGATGCGGCACAAATGTAACTTTGGTGCTACATTTATCTCCTAACAGAATTCCTAAGTTAGTGATCATATGCAGCAAGTGAAATTCCGAGAATTAACATTGTCGTAGGATTTGCTATAAATACATCAACTTGGGAAGCAAACTCTCTGGATAATTAATATTAAAAGAAGTCACTACTTATTCTCGTATTTTTGAATCTAGGAGATCAGACTTTAAATCTGTTCAGTCTGTCGATTCTGTTATACAAATATTGTATGATTGTTTGAAAGTATTCTTCTACAGTGACATAGGAGATCAGGAGAAGGGGAAGGGGAAAGTGAAAATTCAGGCCACATTGAATGAATGATCTTTCCCAGTATCATTAGATTGTAAGCTTTAGTAGACTTTTTCAAATTAAAGGTATATTAGTATTTTGATTTAGTATATTAGTACTGCTCTTTTATCCACAACAAATCAGGTTTAATCCCACAAATGGGGTCAGGAAGGGTAGTGTACACAGATCTTACCCCTACACGATGGAATAATGCTCATTTAACCAAACAGGAAAAAAGGGAACTATAAAAGCACTGATCTTTAATTTTAACAAAAATGTGACTAATGATAACGAAAGTAACCAGGAAATAGAGACATGCAGTGTCCACTGGGAGAAAAAGTACAAGGCATTTTATTTGTCCAATCAATACTGGAAATGGAGTTCTAACATTCTTCTTTGCTACACTTTCTCCCGCAGAGATGGTCTTCCTATTTAAACTAATAGGATGGACATTCCTTTCTCTATAAATGAACAAATCAACTATACAATGTATCTCATGCCATTTTCCTTGTAATATAATATGACAAGACTCTCAAACAGCAGGTATTGAACCTTTTGGAGAGGCGAAAACAGAAACAGAAAAGACAAAAATAACGACCTATGCCTAAAAGTAAACAGCTAAGTATGTAATGGCTTTCAACACATAACTGATCTTACAAAAAGGAGAAGTAATTGAAGGGTTGGTGAGAAGTGTGTTCCAGCTTCCTTTGACCACACTTAAACCCCTTACGGCCTTACCAACAAATGGTCGACGATCTTGAGCAGCATTGTGTCCCGAGAGTGGAGAGAACCAAGACAACAACCAAAAATTAATATGTACATCTTTATTGTGTCACAGTTCTACTTCATGTAGATCTTCACCAAATCTACCACCATTCATCGAGGAGTGCATCAAATTAGCATCACTAGGCATGAATGATGATGGAGGCATACCCAATACCTCACCAAGTGGTTTTACTTCAGATTTATTTGGGGTGAAAGCATCAGAAATGCCTCCGCTCCATGATGCAGTTCTCCGTGACTGACTTGACAGGGGGCTAGGTCCAGTAGTTACCCCCTTCTTAGAGATGCTGTCCATGCTTGGAAATCTCTGCATAAGCATGGTTGATGGAGGTGCAGGAGACTGGAATGACCCATTCACAGCAGAGATTGAATGATTTTCACTATTTCCTGAAGTCTGTTGCTCATTGGAATGACTGTCAACTGTTTGTTCAACAGGGGACATTGGCGTAGGAACAAAGAACTTTGCATTTCCAGTAGCAGGTTTCATGGAAGGAACAGAAGGCGATTGGAAAAGATTTGTTGGATTACCTCCACCTTTATTGAATGTGTCGACATACCTGCCAAAAGAGGGATGAGAATAGTAGGTCAGCTTTCTCTAGTTGAGTCACAGCAGGAAACACTATATGCACTTTTACCTCCTAGAAATACTAGCTTTCATCGCCTATGTCCATATTTGTAGATTAAAACCAATTACACAGTCAATGAAATAAAGAAGCTGGATGCAAAAACATCTAAACTAATAGTTTCCTCATCATTTTCAGGAACAAATCACTAGGAACAGATAGCTGCAATAACCTAACATATATCTTCAGATGTAAAACCAAAAGATTATAAAGCTTTGTCTGCTGCTTTTTTTGAGAAGGAAGCGCTTTGTCTGCTCCTTGTTAAATCGAATTATGTATTTTATAATTTTGATCTGCCAGGAAGGACATCATCAAGTAATTAGTCCAAGTAGACACTCTATACTCCTTCTGACCAGAACAATTCCTTGTCTGTTCGTCCCAAAATCCTTACTTCTTTCCTTCCATGACAAAGCTGTCTCCCTCCAACAATTTAAACTAAGACAACTCTTCACAAAGCAACTTACTTTTTTTTAAGTCCAAACTAAATTTTAATCATGTTCTTTTTCTAACTTAATATTAATAAGCTATTAAAGCAAAATACTTTATTCTTCGTGCAGTCAAAGTGCGTCATTTTAACAGGATAAGGTGTATCCAGGATCCGAACACCAAGGTAACCAAAGAGCAGACTCACAGTTAACCTAAGCCACCAAAAAAAATCAGCTGGCCCCTTGTTATTACTTCAACAATAGTATGTTCCCAATGGTCATATATCCTACTGAAACATTGAATCATCCGATATATTTCTATAAAGGAACACGCCAATATCACTTGCCTTGACCGAACACCCATCCGACTGCGTGCTGAGAATTGGTTAGTGGCCGGTGGAAGTGGTGGGATTCCTGAACCATTATCAGCAGAAGGTGGACTCTTCATGTCTGGACTTCCGTTACTAATAGAACCTTCACTTTTTAGTACACTATTCAAGTTATAATCGGGTGCCCCGCTCTGGAAAACAGCAGTGGTTGGTGGTGGTGCAAGAGCTGGTTCCTCAGCAGGAGGCGCAGCACCTTCTTCAACCCATCTTTTAAGTTTTTCATCATAATAAAATTTATTTGTTTCACCCAGTTTGGCCTAAAATGGATCATAACAAATGGAAATAAGTGTGAAACACAAATCCAGAGGATCACAATGTAGAAAATAACAGAGCGAAACCTCATGAAAAAATAATGTACCTGACGACCTTGTCGGGGTTTAAGGACTAATCCAACCGTTTTTTGGAGAAGCTGAGAGCCAAAACTAAAGCGACCAAAGCGTGATCTACCTGCAGCTGCTGATGAATTACCTGGTTTGTTACTTGAGCTTGCTTCCTTTGATGAGTCGACATGATCCTATACAAATTGAACAAAAAATTCATCTTTTTTTAAGACCAGACAGATCAAGCCCAATTAGCCACAGGGTAATACCATTACATACCTGTCTAGGAGTTCTTCCAAAGTCGGGCTCTGAAACACTTCTATTGTGCATCGTCATTCTATTGTTGTCAGCTGCCCATTCACTTATTTTCTCCATGGATGCTGAAGGCATCAAAGATGACATCGCCATTGTCGATTGACTATTTGAGACTCTAGGTCCCGCAGACTGATAATGATGTTCATTCCCTTGTGGACTGCCGCTTGTTGTTGAAGGAACCGGCGGTGGTAAGCCCCCAACCACACGGTGAGCAGTGCTATCAAAAAGGTTAAGCAATTTACCAACCAACTTTGCAGGAGCCAAATTAGTGGCAAACCCTCCCTGCATGCAGAAAGTTCCCACTATAATTATCTGTGGACCATCATATTACAAAGGTAAGTGTATCAAGGGCTACCTCTTGGTGTGTTTTGATCCTTTCTTCAAGAGACGACACTAATTGTCTCAATGTTTCTATCTCAGGAGCTCGGCCAGTTTTAAGCGATTTAGATAATGCTTGACAATACCTAAAAATTAGAAATGATAAGCCACCAGCAGTAAGGATTTCCAAAAAATTTAAAGTAGAAGTAAAATCTTGGATACATACTTCAACGCATCTGGCGTTCTCCCAACTTCAGCCAACATGTGTGCATATAAAAGCTTGTAAGGTTGAAAAGGAGGAAGAATAAATTGAGAGTTTCCAAGCACCTTTGAGTATTCATATATCTCAGTCCTCTGTCAACACAGTATTTCATCAGTCAGCATATTCACTTGCATTACTCCACTAATGCAGCAGTAGCACAGAGCAAACAGATAGAAGCAGCAAAAGAATGTTTCATTTTTCTTCTTTATGAAAGGCAAATGAATAGGACCTGAATAGCCTCTGGACTAGCATAAGTTCGGGGGAATTTCCAGTGATCAGCGCCAACAAGACACAATCTTGCACTGTCTGAATATGGTTCAATGTTTGCTTCTGCCACCAGATAACAAATGTGTGCAGCAACAATCTGAATCGCAATATTAAAGTATGAAGCATACAGACACAGCATAGGAGATATTCTAAAGAATGAGAATATGAATATGAAGCAGAATACATACATCACTTCTCTCTTTCCACAAACAATCGCCAAGATGAACAAGCACCAATTCATCATCCTTTGTTCTATTTGCAGTGATCACAGCCAAATTCTCCTCCCAATCGTCAAGCATGACATTAGCCCCAAACTAAGATAAATAGAAGAATAATCAAAACAAGCTAATATTCCCAGCAAAGTATTCACTAAATCTTTAATAGATTAATAAACTAAAGGGAAATAACAAAAATAGAATATTTTCACAAAATGCCGAAGAAGAAAAAAGTGATCTACATATCATCTGTATTTTACTACAGAAATGTAAGGGTTATGCAAATAGTTTTACACCTCTGACAAAAACACCCTATCCTCAAAAAGGCGGTAAATAACTGTTTAACCTCAAAAGAGTGGAACTCTTCCGCGGAACTGATAAGTCAAAACACATACTTGTGGTTCCACTTGACTATCACTA